GACTTTGAATTTAATTGGAATTGTAGAAATATTTGAATTTAAATTAAATGTTTAACAATTGGAAAATCAAGTAGAAGTAAACAAAAAAAAAAAAAAGTCTTGAAAACTAATCTTATAAAAAACTAAATCAACTATGAATAAGAATCTGTTGGGGAACGTTGATTTATTTCTACTGAACTAAGAATTCAAAGAGAGTTTACTAAAAATAGCGTTAATCTAAGAGATTGTTAGGTTAGGCTAAACTAAAAAATGCTTGTGAAGAACAAAGTGCTTTAAAAATTAACTTGCCTTGTGTGTGAAGGCCAAGCTTGTTGGAACTGAAAAGTGTGTAGAAAACCTGTATTTAAAGGCCTCCATAACTGAACCCATTCATAAAAAATCTGACCTTGATCCTTGCCATAACCAAAGGTCAAAGCAAATCTCAACAACCTCGAAACTACCTCCATCTTGCTAACTATCGGTTAGCTAGAAATAAAAATTTGCAACTAGAAGCCACAAGGATTCTATTAATTGGAGCCTCCTAAAAATCGGCCACACTTTTCTCAATTAACCTAGTCAAATCCCCATTCTAAATCAACCCTCAAGCCTTCAACTTTCTCAAAGAAAAAGAAGATGAAAGTTTGACTCCAAATAAAATACTAACACCAACCCATGAGTTTTAATTGCTAGAGTCTAAAAAAGAACTTAGATTGCATTCTCCTTTGGGGAACATGATTCCCCTTTTAGCCCAACAAACACTTCAATGTCGAATCTATTTTGAAATAAACCCTCCATTATCCTCAAGCCAAACATATTCTCATGTTTAAGTCTTAAAGCAACGCATTCTTCAATTGACAAAAATGGTATATCCTTGTGATCATCAAGATTATTTGAGGAAAATTATTTTTGAAATACATAAAAAATGAGCTAGTAAATCAAGAAACACGGTCCAAACTGGAAAAAAAAAATGTCAATTTATTTTAGCTGGTATACCATTTATTAGTTAATTTCATTCATTAAAAAGAAATATACCACATATTAACTAATGAATAATTCATAATAACAAAACAATTATTAAATCACAAATTAAGACTTAGTTTGATAATGTTTTGATAAATTTTTTTTACATAGCACTTTGTTTAGAAATGTAAATTTATTAATTTTAATTAATTTTTATGTATTTTTATTAATTTTAACTAATATTTTATATGTTTCTAAATAACACTATAGAAAACAAAAAAAAATCTACCATTACATTTACAATGCAACATAGCACATTATAGCACTATCATACTGAAACCTAAAAGAAATAAATAAATAAGAGCTGTTTTAAGCATTATATATAGGGGAAAACATTATGAGATTTTAAGAAAACATTTTTTTTTAAAAAAAATGCTCTTTTCGCACTCAATTCGCTTCTAGGTTTCTTTTTTGGAGGTCTTTGGTGTGCCCTCATGGGAGAATTGATTTGCTTGATTTTGTCATGGACGGATGTCCTTTTGAGTTTGGACGGCAAGCGTGAGATAAGGGGAAGGAAGGGCTTCGCACTGCTAGAAAACGACGTGAGACGTTTTGTGGGTAAAAGAGTAAATTACTAACATATAATATGTCTGGACATGATAAAATAGTAAAAATAATATTAATTTATATTATTTAATATTCATCCTCTAATTTTGTTGGTAAAATATTAAAATACTGACGTGGTCTTAGCTTGAAATTTGTTCTTGTTGACCGTACTTGGACCTTCAACTTAATGGTATCAATCACGTATAAGTGCTTTTTTTTTTTTCCATAACAAGTGTTTGATTTTGACCCATGTGAATTTGTTAAAAAAAAAAAAAAGGAATTTGTTCTGGTTAACCTGTAGACTATTAGTGGAGTCAAATCTTGAATAATGAATTAATTAGAGACTTGTTACACGTTGGTAAATATACTCCAATCATTATCACGTCGATAGTCAAGCTGAAATTTGTAAGATGATCAGTTTTTTTCCTTACCAACATGAAGCTCATCAGTAAGTAGAAGGGCTGTGGCCCCCTTCCGCGGCGAACCCCATTCCACCATCATTTTCATTTTCCTTTTCGGCTACATTTCCCTTTCCTTCATCTTTTCCAATGCGCCAAGCAGTGACAAATTCAACATTTTTTTTCTCACAATTAGTAGATAGAGCAGTGGTAAGTGAGGTTTGAGCGAAATTACTAATTTTGATTTTTTTTTTTGTCTTGAATCCAAATGGGTTATGCATATTTTGTATTTTTTTGTTATAGTTTGGACTATCAAACATTGTGATTAGTTCATTCTATATTAATATTGTTTGATTTGTTGTTTTTGGTAAATTTTATGGATATTTGTCAAGAATTTTTCAGCAGTTTTCTTATGAAATTTCAATGACCAATGGTGAAATTCTAACAATATAATAACTGGTCTTATTTTGTTATCGCATATGTTTTAAGTTGTATTATGTTAATTTTGAATGCAATTTTCATAATTTAATAGTATATATAAATAAATTTTTTTAGTGAAAATATGCATAAATTAAGAATTCAATAGTTTTTTTTGTTGGTTAATATTTTGCTTCATGGACCCTCATTATATAGTAGGTTTCATTTTCATTATATTGTTATAAT